AGTTTTTGAAAAAATATAAGAACAATCAATAGAGAAAAGCCATGTGTACACGTTTGTTTTTTCAAAACTTTATTCTTTAAATTTCTGGACTGAAAATTAAAGTGGTCTCCGTAGGTTTTTGATGCCGATGTATTAACTTCATGGGGTTTTCTTGGCTTTTATATTATTGCTGAAATATTCTGTCAAGCACACGTCCAAAAAATTTTTTTTTCACTAGTTGAAATCGAAAGTAGAATATATCATAATGTTTTTATATGTTCATAAATTTTATAATCATTCTAAGCCTAGTCAGGCGTTTTCATCTGAGTCGACAGATTTTACCCTGATATTTAATCGGAAAATTTAAGATTAATTGTATTATTAGACGCCTATTTAACATAAATAATCTGTAAATAGATTGATTATGTTAAGAAAGCGACAATATATTTAGAATGCTCAATTGCCATTTGTTCGAAGTGCACGAATTAATAGAATAGAATAGAATAGAAGTGTCGGTGTTGGAGAAATAGGCCCATGGCCTGTTGCCGATTCTTGAACTTTTCGTGACTTGATTCACAAGGGATCCGGCCTTTGGAACCCGATCTTTCCATAGCTGACGATTGATTGAGATAGTGTGTTCCAACGCTGTTTTTTTAGTTTATAGCCGTGGCCCCTGGTGTTGGTTCTTGTTTCAAATTCTAGTAATCCTTCTGTTGATCAATATCATCAATATTTTCTTGAATATTTTGAATCTTGCAAACAATTTAGAAACTAAATCTGCCAATGGAATTAAGAGTTCAGTAAACTTGCTGGGAAAAATTACCTTGTTTGCTTCACACCTCATGTCCGAACCTTAATAGAACAAATATTTCCCCTCCTCATTCATATGTGTGCAAAATATTATTGGTCGCGTCTACGTGAGAGTAACATGGCGCTGCGACCCTCTCATCAGAATAGCTAGCAGACGGAGTTGCTACGAGCGACGGGGCTTCTTCCATTGTGGCCGTCGCATGTAAATCAGCTTAGAGCGCCACGAATTCCTAAGCCAAGTCGCTTAAATAATGATGGAGAGGCACTAGCGAGAACTTCATCCTATTGCTGCAGCATCACTTCCATGCTTTTCGCAAGAACCGCCCTTGATGACTTCGGTGAATGCCGCTCTGTGAAACTGATAAGGATTTTAGACTGATGAATGAGCGACGAATGAGCGAATTCGCACGAACGTTAAATTATATCTAGTTGGTTTGTAAATAAAACTTTGTTGTGATAATCGAGCAAGGGCTTGAAGAAGACATTATAAGCTCAAAACTGTTGAATGTTATATTTTGAACTCGAAGTAAATAAATTTCATCGGTCCTTGCAAACTCTGGTTGATTTTAGGCGGCCCTGGTTTCAGAATTTGATTGGAGATATAAGAAAGAACGTTAATGCAGTAAAATTTTTATCGACCCATATAGAACAAAGAAGCAAGTTTTTTAAAACATACAAAATAATAAAAAATTAGATCACTACTCACTGCAGTGAGTGACAGAGAGCACATTTTCCCGTCCGTCCGTGAAGTCACGGACAAGCAGACGGACGGACGGACATGACGAGCACAATAGCACATTTTTTTCCATAAATGAGAAAATGCGCTAAAAACAACAATAATAAATTCCAAAACGCATCCCACAGACAGAAAAAAAACTGATCAGTATAATGAGAATATCAAATTTGCACCTGGAAAAAATCGGAATTAATCACAAATATGTTCTAAAGTGGGCATCTAGCAGCAGCGGGTGTACGTTTAATTAAGTTCATTAAAGGACGCGGGGACCGGTGATTGGCAGTTGCAAATTGGACGAGTCGATTTCAAGGGATCAATAGCGGTCTAAAATACTGACTGATTTTCACGAGCGTAACATTGCTGACTTTTGCTTCGGAATACGGAGTCGAGTTTCAGTTGATTTACGCGTTGATATACATGGACATGAAAATGTTTGAAGTGGAATTTTCAGTGCAAAATATATTTTGCACGAATAATGTGGTCACATCTGTGTTTATTTCACTGTTTGGGCCATCCACTAGGAGTGACGTTCAATCAACGGCGAAATTAGATGTATTGTTGACAGTTTTTATCTGTGCACTGATAATTTAGTCCTCATTTTAGTCGTGCAGCCCAAAAGTTTTATTACCTGGTTCATATAAGCTTAAGCTTGTTTAACTAATCATGTTTAATTAATCATGACTTTCCTGTTATTGGTCAATACAAAAACTCAGGATTTTACATCATTATCACATGACGTGCATTTTAGAGTTTAGTTGGCCTTCTTAAAATTTGACGTTCGATGATACTTAGATAATATATTGGAATGTATTTTAATTTGTCGCGTGCCCTTAAAAAAATCTGTTCAGTAGGATTTTGAAGCACTCAGTGCGATATGTTCATTCTTTTCACGCTCGATTCACTTTAAAGTTGATTGAATTTAGAATGTTGTCTCAGGTGAAGACTTAGCACTTCTAGGTTCACGAGGAATTTTGCGTTAGTTGATGAAGTTCATTCAGCTTTTTCCAGGCAAGTATAAATCACTAACTGCTGGCATCACTGACTGCATTTATGATCCGGTGAAATATATCAGTTCGATGCCATCAACAGAGAAAAAAATGTCGACTAAGAAGACAGCAATTCCATCTAAAAAATGGATATTGCGTTTTATCCCACGTGTGGATGTTATGGTGCTTTGAATGACCGAGAATACATCACACGTTCATAGAAGTTAAGTTATCATTCAAAATAAAGGCATTTTATGATATTCCGAAGAAACCGTTGGAAGTATTGTGCACTGAAAACTTCATAAGGTTATGAATGCAATCAATTTGTCGATAACTCAAACAAAGAGAACATATTGATGAGTAAAATATCTTAAAGAAAGAAGTTCATGCAGTTGTTAACTGCAGAGAATTGGTTATCAACTTATGATTTAACTTTTTATTTGAAACTTTAAAACACTGCAAGCACGTAAAACATAATATTCTTGCGTAGATAACGTGAAAAATTTCATCTGCAAAGTTATGAATAGTGGAAGTTGCCGAAAGTCAGCCGGAGCTCATAAACAAGAGGGCAGTTTTGCGTGGCGCTTAATAACGTCATCAGGTGGAAGGAAGGCAATTCATGCAGCGATGATGACACCGTCAGCAGTTTTGTCCGAGAGCTGCGAGAACTCATCTATTTTGCGAGTGTCGGCGACAGCGAGCGCCCGCCTGCCACTTTGATCGCCTCCAATCTAGCTCCCTTACTTGCCTCAATGCCTCGGGATCAGGATACTTCCCCTTGAAAAAGAGGAAGGAAGGTAAAACGAACGTCAAGAAGGAGTCTTTGGTTTTTCGCTCTAATGGGGAATTGTTCATCAAGTTAGATATATGCTTTTTGAGAGACTGAAGATTTAAAAATTATTACTCTTCGTTGAAATTGTTTTCACATTAAATGTCTTATGATTTTTGGTAATTGTCATTTTCCAATCTGGAATTGATTCTTGAATTCACGGGGGTCATTATTTAAATTAGGATTAGCGGCTGAAGTGTATTCTAAGACATATAAAATATTGTTAGCAATAAAATATAGTTAGCGAAATTTGCTTTAATTTTCTTTTCAAACTCTCAAATTCTTATGTCCGTTGTAGAATGGAATCAGAGGTCAACTATTTAGTAGTTCCTATAGGGCCAAAATAAAAAAAAACATTTATAAACTTTAATTGATCGAAAAGAAGGAAAATATTAATTACACTAAATTTTGGGTAATTTGATATCCGTCTCAATAAATTCAACAGCAAATGAAATTATGACATTTGCAGGAATATTCGTAAGCTAAGCTTACTATGGAGATCATTTGATAGCGGTAACATAAATGTATAAGCGATATTTTCTATTTATTGGTTCAGTTAAGTAAAATATTATGAAGCTCTTTATCAACAAAAGAAAAAGTAATTATTCTTTAGAAATGTTGCATCAAAGTTGTTTCACACCATGCCATGTTGATAGAAATTCTTTTTTATTAATAAGCCACGAAGATTGAAATTCGAGATTTAGTAGAACAGGATGATATATATTAAAATATAAAGCCTGCTGAAAATTTAGTCGCCCACGAAAATTAATAAAAGCTTTTGTTGCAACATTTGAAATGCGTAACTGCCAAATGAAATTCTCCAGCAGTGAACTATTGGATTTTTCTCGGCTTTATTAAACCGTTCTCAATATAACTTCTCAATACAATTCATAAAATTAAATGATTCGAACATTTAAATCGCAAAATATAGTTAGATAAATTTACAGAACAGAACAAATAACGCGAATTAATCCTTAAAACTAGGAATTTTAAAACTTAATCTAAAATAGTCTTAGAAAGATGTGCATTAGTCCCATTTTCCATATGTTTTTTTCCAGCTTTAATCAGTAGTTTATCAGTGGACGTTATCCTCACGTTAGATAAAACGTCTAGTTATGGGATTAACAGGGCTACGTTCTCATTATGATCACTATAACAATAATTAATGCCCGTGAATTTACTTTAAAATTGTCCTAATAGAATAATAATGGGCCATCCAATTTCCCCTCTCTGTTCATATGATTCAAGTTATTTGTCTCTAGTGTGGGAGGACTGAGGGGAAGGTTACAGTAAAATATGAATTAATAGTTCATGAATTTTAGTCCTGAACGCATTCTCACGTTCAAACAGTTTTTCCGTCGGGATTCCAAGCATAATCACACGTCATCGAATAATTGACAATTATTTGATGCAAATGTAATAATATACTTCATACAATTACAATAAAATATTTTTAAATATTAAATTATAAATTATTATTCCACAGAGTGCGTTAAACTCTTATTTACCTATTTCACAAAAGTCATTGCGTCATGTATAAAATTATTATCTCCTAAAATAATAACAATCTAGAGCAAACAACTCCACATTCTGAAGAGACCTCATACAGTCGTGCCTGATAAGAAGTTGTTAAGCCTTGTTAAGGCCAGTGTCCCCAACACAGTGCCAGCAGCAGCATGCGTGTTCACGTCATCAGGTTGCGTCCCGGGACTGAGGTGCGACTAATAATTAAATTTATTTGACGTATTTGAATATATCTACTCATGCGTGAGTTAATAATTGTTGATAATTATAATGTATTGATTTTCAATTAAATATTTATATTACGTGAACCTAGAATAAACTTTGCGTATAAGTAAAATCGTATTTGACGTCTTATTAAACACATAAGTTAAAAAATAATCTTATGATTATTCGTATTCGCAACAAGTATATATAGTGATGTTATAATTTGTTTAACGGATCCACGTCTTTGAACTCAATTTCTGCCTTATGAAATCAACGCTCAACAGCACGTTGTCTCCGGGCAAAAAAAATACATAAAGAAATTATTTCATATTGAGTCTCGGACACATATGATCTGAACGTTGATTTGAATGTTCGATCGTAATATCGTTTAATAATGCATAAACTATGCAAACTCGTATTTATGTAAAATACACATGTATACCATATTTTAGTATATTGTATAAAACTTGATGTAATAGTGTAGCGGTCCGACTTTCTGTCGTTCGCGCTCTTCTTCTTTCTTTCTTTCCGACACATTACTCGGAGCTGAAATTGGATCTGAGCCGGGGTTGGCTCACTCTCGATGATGCCGCCTGCCTGGTCGGGCGTGGCAGGACGCAGTAATTGGTCAACCATTCATTCAAAACCAAGTTCTTGTATTTTGGTTACTTCATCCGTCGGCCATGGACGGGTGCGGCTGCAGGCAATCGGAGCTTAAGTGCCAGTCTCAAGACGGTACTGTACGTCGCCGGCACTGTACGTCGTCAGGACTTGGTCGATGGTTTGAACATTTCTCTCCCACTCGTCGAACAGCGTAGAAGGAAGCTGCAACTTGTTGGCAACGTTGGACAGAAGTCACGTTGTAATCTCGGCAAGCGCTGCGCTCCTCCGCTAGAATCTAACATCTTGAATAGATTTGACTGAAGCTAATTTCGCTGAACTGTGACTTCCTCTCTGCTACAACACCGGTGACTATGGATAGGCCCAGCCAAATGTTCAATTTTACCTTAGTTCAACTTGACATTTCCGGTCTGATGGCTACATATGATTACTGGTGTATTTCTCATGAAATTGCTTGCTTATTTATACATATTGATCGTTAAATATATAGTTCATGCTTGCATTTATAGTCTGTTTATTCTGTCTAACTATCACGTTGGGGTAGCCCATATGTGTTGCCCCCTCTCCCGCAACAATAGTACAATTTATGATAATTTGATTGAATATAGAATGTTTAATTCACGTATGTGCTCCTTACAACGGTTACTAACATAGTAAAAGCATACGTAAACTTGCAACACCAGAGACCCAAATTGTAGTTTTCCACAACGTTTTAGGAGGCTGTTAATTTCGTTGAGAAGGCATCACATGGAAGTCGTCGGGCTAGGGACAGACCGCTCTCTGGAAGTCTGTTCAAAACAATCTCTAACGTTTATCGTCTACCGGATAGTGCTTATCTTATCTTCCTTCGCTTTTGGAGGCGAGTGCTGCCTAGCTTTGTTTCTCTACACTAAATTTCCATTACAAAATTTGTTGAGTATCGTTATTAATGAAACTTATCTTTGATTTTATTTCAAAGGCATGGCAATTATAATCGAAAATTTGAATTTATTTGTTGTGTGGATTCTTCGTTGTTGGCTGTACGTACTTTGCTGGGGTCCAGGGATTTAGTGCTCCAAACAGATTTTTATTAATAGGCGATCAGAGCATTTGGACATCGTAAAATTAGAACTTTGTTCTTCTAAAGAGTCAGAGAATTGTTTGGAATCAATTTCTACACTAGAAGTGCTTCCAAATGAGATGAATATAATCAATTAATAAAATAGGTGCGAACTTTTTTTAGCGCATTTTCTCATTTATGGAAAAATGCACTATTGTGCTCGCCATGTCCGTCTGTCTGTCTGTCTGTCCGTCCGTGACCACGTTTTCGTCGACAAGAAAATGCGCTCTCTGGTACTTACTGCAGTGAGTACTGAGTTATATTTTTTAAAGTTAGAGTGTAGAACAACTTAACCACAGACAACATCCTGTGGTAGTTCTTACAAATCCGGAGAAAGATTCAACTGATATATAATTTAGAAATTTAACAGTTATCGTGTAATATCCAATACACGTGGAAAATTATTGGCTCAGTCTTATTCTGGATTGTGCATCCAAAGTTACTATCATTGTAATACTATTTTAAACATGGGTTAAGTAACGAGTGATGCCCTTCACAAAATTTAGCAATGAGTTGACTTTATTTTTAACATCAGTTGATTTATGATTACTTTTGAATAGAGGGTAGAGATAAATTGAACTTCTACCCCAAAAATGGTAATTTGATAAGTCTATCTATAACAATGGCATTTTATTTGAGAATATTTCGTTACAACTCTACGGAAATTATACCAAAAATTTAACTAAGTCCCATGATTGATCTAAAACTCATGGTTTGCGCGTCGTGTATTAACTCAGGAAAAGATAATGCTTGCAGATTAATTGCAATGAAACTACTCCTAAATGAAAAATATAATTTCCATGACTTTATCAGCAGTCAGATCAAATTTTCAGATGAGTTATCCGTTCAATATTTCTCAATTTATTTTTTTTTAATTTCAGCATCTAGTTAAGAATAAATAGTTCCCACATATTTATTTGTAGACATAGAAGCATTGTCGAGATAGTGCTTTTTTGCTCTACGCTCCATACAAACAGAATAAATACTAGAAATCTGGCGCTACAACAATCGGTTGTTCTTTTAAGCGGATCGCAGTATGCGAGATCCGTTTAACAGCTGCGTGAGAATACAGGAGATAACAGAGCTCAACCGTACGCTTTTATCTCACACTTCCCCATCTGGTACCAGTGTGCTTACTTCGTTAATCCCTTCACGATTTCTTCTTAGTTTCTCTGAAATGAATTCCTCTCGATCCCAAAAGTTTCGGGCAACATTTGTCCGGGTATTTTGAGAAGATTTCCCAGACTCCCAGAAGCGGAGCTGCGGAGGGCGATAAGGCATCCAAAACACTGACACAAAAGGCATAAAAGCTTTATTTTAGTGGCAAACTTGAGGAGCTATTCAAGACCCACTCATCTATAGGACTCTACTTTTTTCCATCACGGTAATTTCCGCTTGTTTTTACATCGATCTCAGATTTACGCTCTCAACTTTGCACCAAATTCTTTTTGAAGGAAATACATCCAGTTTCTTTACATGCTCAGAAAACCCCTATGGAAAGCTCAACATTATATTTGCAAGGCATAGCAGATATGGAGATATCTCATGTTTTATTCCTTATCCCTCAATCTAAAATGTAATCACATGGAGTTTATAATATTCATTGTCGTGTTGGTATTGAATATTCAGTGGACGTTGAAAATTTACAATGCTCCTCGTATAGAGTCGTTATGCTCTTGCCTCATCTATCTTGTTATTCGCCATGGTACGACAGAACGATTATTTTAACCCCTAGATATCAGATCAGTGTTATGTATAAATGCTTTTTTAGATTATAGATCATCGGGAAAACGGTAATCATATCACATTAATAAAATAATAGAAATACAAACTCGGATGAAGAGCGTTGAGTCCGCCCCTAAAGCTCAGCACCAGTCGTATTACATTTTTCAATTGAGTTGATACATGGAGATTCTGTGGTCTTCTTGCTCATCGGTGTATTGTTATATTGTAACGGAGCTGCTGAAAGTAGAGGAGTAGGTGAAGTTCAATTAAGATTTTTAGTTCCTTTAGCATTTCTTTCAAGTGACAGAAATTAGTCTGATTACACTGATCTGATTTATTATTGATTACGATTAATAAATTATTTATATGAGATCATTTGATGCTTTTGTTGCAATAATATTTTTCGGAATATAATATAATAATTGTTTTAGGAAATAATAATCTAAATAATATGGTATCTTGAAAAAGCCTGCAAAATAGCTCAAGTTTGATTCTACAAGTGTAAGGATTAAATTTGCTTGACCGGTTGAATGTCCCTAAAGTTATTTTTAAGTTGAAATTCTTTTAGAATGCAGGTAATTTTGGAAAAATACTCCTCTATCATGAACTGATCAAGAAATAATTATTATTAGATACTTTCGATTGTTTCGAAATGATGTATTAAGCATTGTTTGCTCAGTAAGTTTCTGCATACTATTCCTAATAGTTTATTTGATTCTGTATATTTAATTATATTCATCGTGTTCATCATTAATACACTCGTATGTGCATAAATTTCATTATAATAAATATTATGATAGATCTCAATTGTATTTCATAATCATAAGGTTATATTATAGATAATATTGCACTCAATGCTAAGGGCAGGTGACAGAGGAACTGCAGCGGTTGGCGCGGGAGGAGCTGCAGGCAGGAGGTTGTGTGCTGACCTGCGTGGGCTCGGTTACGGGCATCACCCTGCGCTTTGCTTCACAAGACACCGGCGGCGACAATAAGGCGGGGCTTTGCTTGCTGAACTTCTGTTGGCTAGTATTTTTGTTATTGTGACTTATGAAGCGGAGTGGATTTGCATTGCGATATATTAATGAAGAATTTTACTTGTTATAGGAATGGATTGGACTTGAACTGAGCTATATTAATGAACAATTAGACGTGATATAGAAATGGAGTGGACTTGTACTGCGCTATATTAATGAACAATTAGACATGATATAGGAATGGAGTGGACTTGCACTGCGATATATTGAAGAACAATTAGACGTGATATAGGAATGGAGTGGACTCTCACTGCGCTATAGTGGAGATTAACTAGTGTTTATTAGAGGCCTGACGAGAGCAATGAATATAACAAAATAAGCCGTAGTTGTTGTATTTCGAATATAAGAGGCTTTCTGTCTATCCAGCTTCTAAAAGAAATATGTTAAGACGGAAATATGAAAGGGCAGAGGAGCAATATACTTTTAGACTCAAACAAGTATAATTTGAGGAACAGAATTGCGCATTTTACTCATACCGTCCGAGAATAAAGTGAAATCTTGTTCGTGACTTGAGGGCATCTGTACAGGTAACCAGACAGCGCACCGCTGGCAGTGAAACACAGTGTAATGCAGAACGTATACTGGCAAGCGTGAACGAGGTTCAGCTGTCTGCATATGACGAGTATAAAAGGCATACTGACACCGATGTCAGGCACATCGCATATCAGCTATTATTCGCTCTATTATGGTTCCATAGAAAGTTGTGCACCTTAACTCTACACAGCATCCAGTACGATTTTATAAAAAATTACAGGGTCAACATAAATCATTTCAAGTCATAAAAATAAGCGGGTAGCAGTTGTTGCTCGACTAATAGTCATCCGCCAACTTTAGCTTGACCCTTTGCAACTTATATATATACAATAAATTTTATATAACTTATATATATAACATATAATATACTTATACTTATATATAATTTATATATACAATATATTTTTTCAGATTCAAAGCTTCAAGGGCCATTACGAGGTGCTGAGTCTGGTTGGAACCTTGACAAAGGATGGCCTGCACCTGCACACTTGCTTGGGGGACAAAGATGGCAAGACCATCGGTGGTCACGTCATGGGTGACATGGTCACCTACACCACCATGGAGCTCGTCATCGGCGTCATGGAAGACTTTGTCCTCACAAGAGAGTTCGACGAGGAAACCAAATTTGATGAGCTGGTCGTCACACCTGCTAAGTAAAGGAAATTTAACGAGTAACCGTTTGATCTGGATAGAATATTTCAACGTAAAGCTGTTGTTAATGTATTTTAGATATTTTAGACAAATGTCGGTAGCACTTTAAAAATGTAAAATAAATATGTTAAAATAAATAAAAATATAAAAAGATGTCGATAGTCGAAAAAAGCGTAACTATGGGAGTGTCAAAATGCATTTAAAACAAACTTGTCTTATGAGGGATGTTCTGCAAAATTTTGAGCTAAGTAGCTGCAATCCATCTATTTTGTAGAAGTCTGAATTGTGTGGTGATGCTCTAAAACTAACTCAGTTAATGCTTAACATGCCTCTAATAAATGATGAGAAAATGTATAATTTTCTTGCAGGCGGGTATAGAGAGATTTTCTGATTTACCATTCATTTAAATATTATTTAGTAGCATTGAAAAATAAATAAATATAAACAAATATTAAAAAAAACACGTTTTTCTGGTTTTTACAAAACTAAAAATAATGAAATAAAACAAATAAAAAACTGTTAAAAACCACGTTTTCTTAACGGACAAAAAAGAAAAACATTTACTCGTACATAAAATTTAAGTTACGTAAAATGTTATGTAATGTTATGTAGGAGTAAATGTTTTTCTTTTTTGTCCGTTAAGAAAACGTGTTTTTTATGTGTTTTATTTCATTATTTTTAGTTTTGTAAAACCAGGAAAACGTGGTTTTTAAAAATATTTTTATATTTATTTATTTCCTACTTTTTAGTTAGCAATTTTAGCAATTGAAACCGATTTCCAGGGTTGGCAAGTGTGGATGTTCGAGAAAAAACTCAATTGTAAACCGTGAATTTTTCGTGTTTTTTTTTTATTTTTTTTTTCTTACTTTTTTTTTAATTATTATATCTGATGATCAAATCTTGAATTGTTAGGCAGCATAAGCATGCATGCCAAATTTAAAGTTTCTAGGATGTTCAGAAGAGCTCTAAATTAAGGTCTGAATTTTTGATGACAGACAGACACGAAACAAAGTCAAGGAAAACGTGGTAATAACATTACAAATGAGGTTCTATTTCACATATAAAACGACGATATTTTACAATGATACATTATTTAGACGTTAGAACGATGATGTAACATTTTATAAGCAGTGGAGCACTGCTCATTCATTTTCGGAATTATACTATCTCCTAAACAATTAGTGTAAAATAGATCCTTTAAAAAGTGGCATACATGCCTACATACATATATGATGTTAAGTAAGTTGGAAAAGATTAGTTATAATTTTATGTAATAATTTAAGGTATTATTGCCGAATTTCGGATGACCGAGATAAACATCGCAGCTAGAAAACACTCGTTTATTTATGAAAAGAACATTTCTAAAAACGAGTAAGAATTTTGCTATGCAAATGCGTGAAACTTATGATTTTTTAATCGCAAAATCATCGCTTTAAATTTAAGTTTTTACGTATTTTATTCAAACTGCTATCGGAGGGCCGTTGATTTTTAGTTACTTCACACTTCAAACGATGTGGGATAACTCTTCAAATTTTCGGATTGGGATTCGTAAAACTCGTGGAAAATTACTGCCTGAGGTGCAATATTCTGGCCTAAAATAAACACGGAGTAGGTAATATCGGGGCGGCTCAAGCGAAGCTGTCACTCCAACACTAGCTCTATCATCTCAAATGTCAACCTGACAACTTTGGATAATCGCCTGTATTACCGGCTGCCAGATGTAACTACACTCCGATAAAAATTAATAAAGAATCGCAGTGCTTTGAGATTCAAAGTTGTGCAAGAATCTCTTCTTTAAAATTTATTTAAATCTTGTGTTCTATTTGCGTCTTTCACTGTTAGTCAGGTAGAAAGTTGAAGGTAGAAATGCAAAAAACTTGATCTTGACTAACGATTCTTGATTTTTGAGAATTGCATGATATTATCAGTTTATTTATACATATTTATGCAAAATGTTGCATTTCTTTTTCATTTCTCTGGTACGAAGGAGTTTGGTAATCAACGAAAAATTTGATTATTTTTAGCTTTATTTTGGTGGGGTGAAAAAATTGCATTCACAATACTCTTGGACGGAAAACTTAAATCTGAGTTCAGTTCGTACAATCTTCAGTTACTCTCTTCAAGAATATCAAACCAATCTTGCTGATGCACATGCAGTTCAAGTCTTGACGGGAGCCGCGACAGAATATTTTTGGATTTTTTGTAATTTTTTGCTTGCTCATTAAACTGAGTGACTGAATTGAGTACTACACGAATTTTTGAAGTAAAGGTTCATTAGCAGTGAAGTTACTAGTAAACATGTATAAAATAATAATAATTTGAACCCATTTAAATGTTTTCCCTAAACTTTGTTGAGGAGGTTCCGAGATGCCAACTTACTATAGGCATAGTATTCCTACACATTAATTATTGAATCTTATATTTCCGAATCGCAAAGAAGGCCATGTTCAAACAAAATATTTTCACGTTATAGATATAGATACTGTGAATTAATTGAAAAGAGTAGGTGCGGCAGTGAATTTGATAAGTTAAGCATCCTTGGTGGTTGAACGATATATGTGAAACCATCTATGTAATTATGTCTAAATAAACTGGTAACAGTTGAAGGCCGAATATTTTCCTTTTTATGTATAAATGCTTTTTTAGATTATAAATTATCGGGAAAACGGTAATCACATCACCATTTACAAAATAATAGAAAATGGATAAAAAAGTATTTGCTACTTTTTTTATTTCTACATTGATGGTATTAATTAGACAAATTAAAATCAGCCCGGCATATTAAGAACCACTTGATGTGATGAGCTCCATTTATTTTAAATTAGACTAACGCTGATATATTCTTGTGTTCAGATGCCATTTTGTTTATTTCACTAGGGAAAAATGAAGTGACACATGCGTACTGAGGGTAATATGAACAATTTTGTTAACTAAAATTTTGATTAAATTTTACTATGAGACTCAAATCAACATTACCACGAGGTTGTAGTTGGTCAACACAAGTGTCTTGGTTGCGGCAATATTACGCAAGAAGCCTTCCTCTGTACGAGAAAGGCTTCACTTCCTCTGTTTGCTTTGGCACCGCAGCTGCCAGCTCCGCTAACCAGTTTAGTCGTGATTGGAGGGGACTTTGCGGCTCTAGCAGCCACAACTGAGGCCACAAATGCTCTAAACCCAAAATTGTATTCAATGAAATCGAGAGGCAAAAGCTACTGCTTTCTAGAGATTTATTGCCTTCATAGTATTCCGAAAATTATATCCTTCCCAAAATGTTGAAAGTTTGAATCAGTGATGTCGCATGGCTCGAACGATCATTTTGAATAACTGGAACGGTACAGTGATAGAACAGTTGCTCAGCTCGATTTGATTAATTGTGCACAGTTAACTGTGCAACGGCTGACGAATTTTTCTCAGGTGTCTGTACAAGATAGAATATGGCAGTTTTATTGACTATATATCAAGATATTTTTACTTCTTGATATTAATGAATCCTGAAAACGTATTCAACGTCGATATTTCAATAAGCTTCAAAACCCACGCCTTTCACATGAGTATTGTAAAATATGCAACTTACAACTCCCATTCTATGAATAAGCAGTAAAAACTATAGGCCGGTGATGTTATTGATGACTTAACTGCGCAATATGCTGGGCGTTGAGTGACAATTATTTCTATGAACATCACTTAGTACCGTAAATTGATTGTTTTTATGAATTATTTGATTTATTTGAACTTCAACTGTCTTCATTAGTAGTTTGTTTCACTCGTGAATTATGTGGGATTCAGTTCAGGCGATATAATGAAGCTTGGATTGCTTCAAGTCTATTTCAGTATTAAATTAATATGGAAAAATATAGCAATTGGTCTGTTTTAAAAATACTTTTTAAAAATAAGTTAAAAGTTCACTAATCACAATGAACTATTTTTCACTAAAATTTTTGAATTATAAAATTAAAAATTTTTAATTCGTCAATTTCAATGTCCATCGTCAAATAATTTAGATAGAATAAAAACTCACACATGAAAACTCTCGAAAAGTAAATTATAGGCGAAAGAAAAGTGTACTCTGACTGTTCGATGCTTTATTAGAGCCAGAAATTTTCCTGATCCAAAGGATATTTCCGGAAGTTTCCACTCCTATTGAAGTTTTTAAATGAGGAACAGAAATGTTGAAGCTCCATTCCGAGTCGCTCGAAGCTATTTCTTGATTACTTCAGGCATCTTTCTGCTACCTAAACTTTCTTTTTGCCACCAGATATTGAAGCTTTGGATCATTTCATTCAAAGTTCATTAATTTGAGAGACCAGGAAAAGTTTGATTTGCCAGCCAGTCCTTAATTTGTAAATACCACGAAAGCTATTAGAGGTGAGAAGACCCATAAATTTATCAATAAAAACGAAGGAAACTGAAATATATGTATTGACTTAACAAAAAATGATGTGCTATAAATTTCAGTGAAATTGAAGTAGGTATAGTTTTCTTTTTATTTTTGTTTCATCATTACATCGAATTTATATCCATAATAAAATTGAACAGCTACTGGCAACACATTCAACATGAATGGATTAATTTACTGTTTTTTTATAGGTTATTTTCTTATTTTTTGACCTACCACAGAGCGTGATGATAGCAAAAAAGTTTTTTTCAAATTCCTCATGACTCAAAATGGCAATCATCGCGGCGTAATAAGAGACAGAATTTTACTCTCTAATAACAGGAAATTGAGAAGCTATGCGCTAATACGAAATCAATACATTATGATTAAGTCTCTCAATAAACCATAAACACCACAATAGCTTCTAGATAACAGAAGGTAATCTGGCCCAGTTGTAGGCCATGCATGGGTTTTCTTCGGCTCCGCGAAGATGCCAAAGATTTTAGCCGTGAACGCGAGGAAGCCTTGCAATCTCCGTGCAAATCCGCGTGCTAAGTTTTTGAGTGGATTCAAAGCCCCAGGCTGGCGCTATCTGCGATTACGGAACGCGCAATGGCAGAGGCTCAAGCCTTCAAGTGACGCTTCTAATCCTTCTCCTCTCGCGCTCCGGCTCAAACTTCAAATCAAGATCGATTAAGGCACATTATAGCGACAATGGCACGGCAGAATACCGCCGCTGGCTGAC